CGATCAATCCAAGCATGTCTCAGATACGGATCCAGAACTGAATTCTTTAAAACAAAATGGCCGCCAGTCGGCCATTTCGAACCCGATCCAAAAAAAAAAAATGACGTGCATCAAGGTCCTATTATGTTTAATGTATGTACCAAATTTGAACAAAATCCGTCCATGCATAACTGAGATCCGGGTCCGGAATGGTGAAAATGTGCGATTTTGATGCATTTTCGGCCTTAAAATGGCCGCTATTCGGCTATCGTTAATCAGATCATGAAAAAAATGCATGTGCATATGTCCCATATAATGTGTGATGTATGAGTGAAGTTTGAACTCAATCGGTCCATGCATGTTCGAGATACAGGTGATCACGGACGCACGGACGCACGGAAGCACGGACGCACGGACGCACGGACGCACACAGGGCAAAACATAAGTCCCCGTTTTCGGACTGCGTCCGAACGGGGACTAATTAACAAATCATATGTATATGTGATGTATATGTCATGATTTATTGTCAAGGCAGGTCAGATTTAGATTTAAATGGATCAAAAAACAAATGCATAAGCTAGGATAATAATCTTTCTTATTTGTGAAGTGAATCTGCCCATGCACGTATGAGACATAGGAATGAATGCATGGACACATAGAAGTGTTTTATGACTATGTCCAAACAGACATAAATAATAGTAATTAATTGGTGAAATTACTGTATTCAACACTAAAAAGAAACATTAGATTATATTGTTATATTTCCACCATCATACCATGCAAGTGACATAAGTATTAAGAAAACTGGCCTTGAAGTGTTTATCTAAAACAAAAAAGTAATTCTGAACACGTCTACATTGTCAATTTGTGTATCGTACTTCAACGGAATTTTATGCAGTTTCAAGTTTGGTACAATTAAAGATTCAAACAAAACAGACAATCCAGAAAGCAAATGATTTGAAGTGGAAATATTGTTTTGGATTCTCAGCTTGTGGTCTTTAGATTCAAACAAAACAGGCAATCCAGAAAGCAAATGATTGGAAGTGGAAATATCGTTTTGGATTCTCAGCTTGTGGTCTTTAGATTCAAACAAAACAGGCAATCCAGAAAGCAAATGATTGGAAGTGGAAATATCGTTTTGAATACTCAGCATGTTGTCTTCAGAAGTAGATGTGTGACTCCATTCATTTTGTCCGAACACTAATGGTTTATTAGTTGAGTGTGTCAGTAAGTGACTTGACTGACTGGAACTCTCCTCGCATTGTTTCTCATGAGATAGCATGTGGTTTTTTAGATTACCAAAACGACAAAATCTCCGATTGCATTGATGGCAATGAAAAGGTTTTTCTCCTATAGGTGTTCGCATATGCAGTTTTAGATTATCAGACTGACTGAAACTCTTCTTACATTGTTTCTCATGTGTTCGCATGTGATGTTTCAGATTACTCAAATGACTAAACCTCTTCATACACTGTTGACAAGAAAATGGTTTTTCACCTGTATGTACTAGCATGTGCCGTTTAACATCATGTGACCGATAAAAACTTTTCTCACACTGTTGACATTGAAATGGTTTTTCACCAGCGTGTACTTGCATATGCAGTTTCAAATTATCGGCCTGAACAAAACGCATCTCACATTCTTTGCATTGAAAGGGTTTAACACCTGAATGTAATAGTGTATGCTTTTTTAGATGACATAATTGACGAAAACCTTTTTCACACTGTTGGCATTGAAAAGGTTTCACATCTGTGTGTGTTAATGTATGATATTTTAGATGGCTTGACCAGCGAAAACTCCTCTCACAATGTTGACAATGAAATGGTTTTTCACCAGCGTGTACTTGCAGATGCTTTTTAAAATTATCTGCCCCACTTATACGCCTATCACATTGCTGGCAATGAAATAGAACAGTATCTGGTTCCTCAAACATGCTTTCCAAATATACTAAAATTTGCTCAAGTTCAGAATGACATTTTCTTTCACTGCTACAGATGATATGCAGGATTGTCAGATTTACTGGTTTTCTTCTTGACACAGACTATCCTCGATGTTTGGTATGATAATACTCTTCAATATGTCCAATGCAACTTTTTCAAAATTATGTATGGTTTGGTTCAAATCCTGGAATTGAAAAAAAAAAAGTTAAAAGTGACCAAGGCACAATGTTAGAAATATAGTCAGTACATGTAGGTTATTTTCCTTTCAGTGCAAGATTTTGCATATTGCGTGAAAAGATCAGATCAAATGTCTGCCACAAAATTTGAACTTGAATTTAATTTTTTATAACTCAATGTAGTAAGACTTCATCAAAAGTGCCCATCAT